AGAGCTGTGTATGGGGAGTGGGGACATAGACTGGAGAGAGCTGTGTATGGGGAGTGGGGACATAGACCAGAGAGAGCTGTGTACTGGGCGTGGGGACATAGACTGGAGAGAGATTGTGTACGGGGAGTGGGGACATAGACTGGAGAGAGATGGGGAGTGGGAACATAGACCGGAGAGAGGTGTATGGGGGCATAGACTGGAGAGAGCTGTGTACGGGGAGTGGGGACATAGACTGGAGAGAGATGTGTATGGGGAGTGGGGACATAGACCGGAGAGAGCTGTGTACGGGGAGTGGGGACATAGACTGGAGAGAGATGTGTATGGGGAGTGGGGGCATAGACTGGAGAGAGCTGTGTACGGGGAGTGGGGACATAGACTGGAGAGAGCTGTGTATGGGGAGTGGGGACATAGACTGGAGAGAGCTGTGTATGGGGAGTGGGGAGTGGGAGACATAGTGGGGACATAGACTGGAGAGAGCTGTGTACGGGGGAGTGGGGACATAGACTGGAGAGAGATGTGTATGGGGACATAGTGGGGACATAGACTGGAGAGAGCTGTGTATGGGGAGTGGGGACATAGACCGGAGAGTGGGGCATGTGTGTACGGGGAGTGGGGACATAGACTGGAGAGAGATGTGTACGGGGAGTGGGGGGACATAGACTGGAGAGAGCTGTGTACGGGGAGTGGGGACATAGACTGGAGAGAGATGTGTGTATGGGGAGTGGGGACATAGACTGACTGTGGAGAGAGCTGTGTACGGGAGTGGGGACATAGACATAGAGAGAGATGTGTGTATGGGGAGTGGGGACATAGACTGGAGAGAGCTGTGTATGGGGAGTGGGGACATAGACTGGAGAGAGCTGTGTATGGGGTAGACTGGTGTGGAGTGGGGACATAGACCAGAGAGAGCTGTGTATGGGGAGTGGGGACATATACTGGACTGGAGAGAGATGTGTATGGGGAGTGGGGACATAGACTGGAGAGAGCTGTGTACGGGGAGTGGGGACATAGACCGGAGAGATGTGTATGGGGAGTGGGGACATGGACCGGAGAGAGCTGTGTACGGGGAGTGGGGACATAGACCAGAGAGAGCTGTGTATGGGGAGTGGGGACATAGACTGGAGAGAGTGTGTATGGGGAGTGGGAACATAGACCGAGAGAGAGCTGTGTACGGAGAGTGGGGACATAGACCAGAGAGAGCTGTGTATGGGGAGTGGGGACATAGACCGGAGAGAGCTGTGTATGGGGAGTGGGAACATAGACTGGAGAGAGCTGTGTATGGGGAGTGGGGACATAGACCGGAAAGAGCTGTGTACAGGGAGTGGGGACATAGACTGGAGAGAGTTGTGTACAGGGAGTGGGGACATAGACCGGAGAGAGTTGTGTACAGAGAGTGGGGGGACATAGACCGGAGAGAGTTGTGTACAGAGAGTGGGGACATAGACCGGAGAGAGTTGTGTACAGAGAGTGGGGACATAGACCGGAGAGAGTTGTGTACAGGGAGTGGGGGACATAGACCGGAGAGAGTTGTGTACAGGGAGTGGGGGGACATAGACCGGAGAGAGCTGTGTATGGGGAGTGGGAACATAGACCGGAGAGAGCTGTGTATGGGGAGTGGGGACATAGACCAGAGAGAGCTGTGTATGGGGAGTGGGGACATAGACCGGAGAGAGCTGTGTACATAGGGAGTGGGGACATAGACTGGAGAGAGCTGTGTACAGGGAGTGGGGAGTGGGGAGTGGACATGGACCGAGAGAGCTGTGTACAGGGAGTGGGGACATAGACTGGAGAGAGCTGTGTACAGGGAGTGGGGACATGGACCGGAGAGAGCTGTGTACAGGGAGTGGGGACATAGACTGGAGAGAGCTGTGTACAGGGAGTGGGGACATAGACCGGAGAGAGCTGTGTATGGGGAGTGGGAACATAGACCACAAAGAGCTGTGTATGGGGAGTGGGGACATAGACCAGAGAGAGAGCTGTGTACAGGGAGTGGGGACATAGACCGGAGACTGGACAGGAGAGCTGGACTGGTGGACAGGGAGGGAGTGGGGACATGGACCGGAGAGAGCTGTGTACAGGGAGTGGGGACATTTGCTTTTAGCTACCAGAAAGTGGTGTAAAGAACAAATTACAAGTGTGCAGAGTATGGGAGGAACAGACCCCGAAGGATTGTACACCTACAGACTGGAGAGCAAAGCAAAAGCGGTCTGTGAATCAGCAACATATCAATTATGAGTGATTGCTGTGAAAGGCCATCTCATTAATTAAGCTGACTCCCATTGGTAAGGCTGCTCAGATGTATCAAAAATCCCTAGGGGGGGGGGGGGTGTCCATAGCTAAGTCCAATTATATAAGAAGTGGTAAAAGAACTACACCCATAGGTCAAAGAGTCCAGATGGTATTTAATTAGATATTTGGTTGGATATTCAGCAGAACCAATGTTTCGGGGGTCATACACTCCCCCTTCAACATAATCCTGTTGTAGTGGACTGTCTGAACTCTTGATATGCTCTGGATTTCTTATCCTACTGAATATCTCATAAAATACCTTTTTGGAGTCTATCACCTATGGGTGTGACGCACTTACTACTTCTTATGTAGCTGAGCCTAGCTGTTTTTGGCTGGATCGTCCCTGGCCTGCCCCCTTTATTGGTTGGATTTAAGTTCTATCAATCATGGAAGCCCAGCATCACATGTGAGTGTTACCCAGTGTGGTCTAGTTGTAGTCTGCATGCAAATACATCTTGTCTAGTAGCCCCTCACAAAATACAGCCCACTGCTTGCAGCAAGGCCGAGGGTTTTTGTGACAACTACTCAGGCAAGGTGCTGTGATGTCTCCTGGAAGCTATGTATACCCTCCCACCAGCTATGATCTGCCTGCATTGAATAGAGAAGCACAGAGACGTAGCGATGACATCACCGGGTCAAAAAAACAGATCTGTAACAAAAATGGACAAAATTTATTTAAAAGCTCCTGTATATTTTCTGGTTGGCACTGTATGCGTGTCTCTACACTTCAGAGCTCTACTGAATGAGAACGTCCTAAAGCGGAGGGAGAGCTTCACCGTCTACACAGTTCACCACTACAGGCTGCATTCAATTCATCAAAATACAGCCCATTACTAATATTTCAATACCTGCAGCCCAAATTCCCTGTGATTTTTTTCTCATTGAAGGCATCGGTGGTGCACTGGCCTGCTAAAGTGCCCAAGGCATCTGCCTTTTCTGCCTTCCACTCAGCCGGGTTCTGGAGTTTCTAGCCTTCTTCAACTCTATAGAAGAGAAAGTCCTGTTATTGCTGGTGCTTGCAGTTTGATTGATGAGAGCTGACATGCACAGAATTTCGGGACAGTTGCAGTCAGAAACGTCTGCTTTACATCACCTCCATGTATAACATCCTGCAAATGTCACTGACCTTCCAGGGTCTCCGAGATCCTCTAATTAAGAAATAATTGGCTTCTCTCCATTTACCATGAGCCTGGCTTTGGATTAATATGTGAATTTAGTATAGTCTTCTTGTCCGAACGGAGTGTCTTCACCAGTAATTGGTTTTGTAAAGCTAGCTTCATTACAATGTGACCATACAATCATTGCACAATCAGTGTTAGATTTACCAACTCACATCTTACAAAAAGATATTTATAAGATAGAGCCAGTCCAGAGACAGGCAGCAAAAATGGTGAAAGATCTGAGAGATAATACATATTTGGAGAGACTGCAAGAATTTAACCACTTCAGGACCGCCCACTCGCAATATACTGTTGATGGACGGCCCATACAGGCCCAGCAACATACCTGCGCGTTACATAGTTACATAGTTAGTCTGACTGAAAACAGTCCATCCAGTTCAGCCATAAACTAAAAAAAAAGTTATAATCCTATACCCACAGTTGATCCAGAGGAAGGCAAAAAACCCCAGCAAAGCGTGATCCAATTTGCTCCTGCATGGGAAAAAATTCCTTCCTGATCCCCCGAGAGGCAATCGGATATTCCCTGGATCAACTTTACCTATAAATGTTAGTATCCAGTTATATTCTGTGTATCTAAGAAAGAATCCAGGCCTTTTGTGAAGCAATCCACTGAGCTGGCCAGAACCAACTCTTGAGGGAGTCTATTCCACATTTTCACAGCTCTCACTGTGAAGAAACCTTTCCGTGTTTGGAGATTACATTTTCTTTTCCTCCAGACATAAAGAGTGCCCCCTTGTCCTCTGTGATGACCTCAGGGTGAATAGCTCTACACCGAGTTCACTATATGAACCACTGATGTATTTATACATGTTGATCATATCCCCCCTTAATCTCCTCTTCTCAAGAGAGAATAAATTCAGTTCCTCTAATCTTTCCTCATAGCTGAGCTCCTCCATGCCTCTTATCAGTTTGGTTGCCCTTCCCTGTACTTTCTCCAGTTCCCCCTTTTTGTGAATTGGTGCCCAAAACTGAACTGCATATTCCAGATGAGGTGTTACTAATGATTTGTACCGGGGTAATATGATATCTCTCTCTCTGGAGTCTATACCTCTTTTAATACAAGAGAGGATTTTGCTTGCTTTAGAAACCTCAATTTGGCATTGCATGCCAGTATTAAGCTTGTGATCTACCAGAACCCCCAGATCCTTCTCCACCATTGATTCCCCCAGTTATACCCCCCCCCCAGTATGTATGATGCATGCATATTCTTAGCCCCCAAGTGCAGAACCTTACATTAATCAACATTAAACCTCATTTGCCCCAGAGTTGCCCAATTAAACAGAGCATTGAGGTCGGCTTGTAAGTTGGAGACATCCTGTAAGGACGTTATTCCACTGCACAGCTTAGTGTCATCTGCAAAGACTGAAATGGGATTTTTAATCCCAGACCCTATATCATTTATAAATGTATTAAAAAGTAAGGGTCCCAACACTGAACCTTGGGGTACACCACTGACACCCCTAGACCATTCAGAGTATGAATCATTAACCACTACTCTCTGAATACGATCTTTTAGCCAGTTTTCTATACATTTACATACAGATTTTTTCCAAGCTCGTAGCCTTTACTTTACAGATTAGCTGTGTGTGGGGAACTTTGTCAAACGCTTTTGAAAAAATCCAAGTATACCACGTCCACCACCACCCCTATGTCCAAGTATACCACATCCACCGCCACCCCTCTGTCCAAGTATACCACGTCCACCGCCACCCCTCTGTCCAAGTATACCATGTCCACCTCCACCCCTCTGTCCACGTATACCACGTCCACCGCCACCCCTCTGTCCAAGTATACCTTGTCCACCGCCACCCCTCTGTCCAAGTATACCACGTCCACCGCCACCCCTCTGTCCAAGTATACCACGTCCACCGCCACCCCTTTGTCCAAGTATACCACGTCCACCGCCCACCCCTCTGTCCAAGTATACCTTGTCCACCGCCACCCCTCTGTCCAAGCATACCATGTCCACCTCCACCCCTCTGTCCAAGGTTTTGGTCACCCTCTCATGAAAAGAAATCAGATTTGTTTGACATCTTCTGTCTTTCATGAATCCATGCTGTCTGTTTGCATAAAATATTTTTTCCAGCAAGAACTCATCTATGTGGTCTTTTATTAAACTCTCCAGTATCTTCCCAACTATAGAAGTTAAACTAACAGGTCTATAATTACTTGGTAAAGATTTTGATCCCTTTTTAAAATATTGTCACTACATCCAGTGGTTCTATGCCAGTCATTAAAGAGTCCCTAAAAATGAGAAACAATGGCTTTGAAATGACAGAGCTCAGTTCTTTAAGAACCCATGGGTGTATGCCATCTGGTCCAGCTGCATTATTCACCTTTATTCTGTCTAAATATTTTTGGATCATATCAATAGTGAGCCAATGTGGATCATCTGGAGCGGTGTCAATACCATGCCCATTATGGACAAGAGCTCCCCCATGCTCCTTTGTATACACAGAGCTGAAGAAGATATTTAATAAATTTGCCTTCTCTTTGTCCCCAGTCACCCACTCTAGATTATTTTGTGAAGGGCTTACATGCTCAGACCAGACCTTTTAACTATTAATATATTTGAAGATTTTTTTGGGGTTGGTCCTGCTATCTTTTGCAATCTGTCGTTTGTTTTCAATTTTTGTGGCTTTTATTTCCTTTTTGCATATTCTGTTATATTCTTTGTAATGTTTTAAACGATGATTGCGTTCCTTCATTTTTATATTTAAAAAAAGCTCTTTTCTTATTATCTAAAGCTTTTTTAACTTTGGCCGTAAGCCACATAGATTTGATTTTTAGCCTTTTAAACTTGTTGCCCATGGGAATATATTTTGCAGTGTGTTCACATGCAGTCTTTTTGAAGAACTCCCATTTCTGTGTTGTGTTCATCGATGCCAATATTCCCTCCCAGTCTAAGTCTTGGAGAGCAGCTCTCAGCCTTGGAAAATTAGCTTTCTTGAAATTGAGCATTTTATTTTTCTCGTATGTGCTTGCTGTTTACAGCTAACAATAAATGAAATCATGTTATGGTCACCGCTACCCAGATGTTCTTTTATATGGATATTCATAATAAACTCTGCATGGTTTGAGATTACCAGGTTCAGCAGGGCATCATTCCTAGTTGGGGCTTCTATGAATTGTACCATAAATTTGTCCTGTAGTAGGTTTAAAAAATTTTGCCCTTTAACTGTTCCTGCAGTACCATTACTGCAGTCAATTTCCGGGTAGTTAAAATCCCCCATTATATCACTGTCCCATCCCTTGCAGCCCTTTCGATCTGTGCAAGCAGCTGAGTTTTCACCTCCTCATTAACACTGGGAGGCCTATAACAAACTCCAATGATAACCTTTGTAGTACGCACCCCCAAGTGCAGTTCCACCCATAATACTTCATTGATGTTGATGTCCTCATCTGGATACAGGGCACACGCACCCATGCTCGCTGACCCCCACTGTGATTAGACACATGGCTAAGACCTACTGATCAGCTGTGTCCAATCACAGCCCAGAGCCCTGTGTTAACAATCAGCACAGGGTCTGTACAAAGGGAATGATCTCTTTGTTTCTCTTTGTTTGCTTTGCTGGGAGAATTATTATTATTATACAGTATTTATATTGCGCCAGCAGTTTGCTCAGCGCTTTACAATATAAAGGGAAACAAAACAGCAATGATACAGTTCAATACAAGAGGGTTAGGAGGGCCCTGCTCCTTGGAGCTTCCAATCTAAGGGAGAAGGAACAAAGAGATTTTTAGTAAAAAAACAGCACATGATACACACATTAACACTTGTTAGGCACACACTTAACCCTATGATTACCCCGAGATGTTAAAACCTTCACAACCAGTGTTATTAGTACAGTGACAGTGTATAGTATTATCACTGATCAATATATTAGTGTCACTGGTGATGTCAGTGTCAGTTAGTCAGTTCTCACCCAGTGTCAGTTAGTGTCCGATTTCCCTTCGCACTATCAAAGTCCCACTATAAGTCGCTGTTCACCGCCATTAATAGTATGAAAAAAAATGCCACCATATATACCATAGTTTGTAGACACTATAACTTTCATCCAAACCAATCAATATATACTTTTGTTTTACCAAAGACATGTAGCAGAATACATTTTGGCCTAAACTTATTAAAAACTTTTTTTTTTTTCAAAATTTTCAGTCTTTTTTATAACACAAACTAAAAAAAACCACTGGTGATCAAATACCACCAAATATAAGTTCTATTTGTGGGAAAAAAATTATATAACATTTGTGTTGGGTACAGTGTTGGCATGACTGTGCAATTACCAGTTAAAAGCAAGTGAAGTGCTAATTGAATCAAAAATAATGGTCATGAAAGGGGTAAAACCTTCCAGAGCTCGAAGCTTGAAGTGGTGCAAGTTCTATACATGTGGGGCCAGTCTGGAGAAAATTACAGACAGAGGTAAGTAACATGACTAAAACTACATTAAAATACATCAGGGGGGTTAAGGTTCAAGAGGGCAGTTTTTCAATATGAAGTATCAAGAACCAAAGGGACATTTCAAATGAGCCAGGAATGTTCAAAACTAATCAAAAAATTATTTATTTTACCAAAGAGTAAAAGGAGTGATTGATGAGATTTCTGGAATAGACTGTTCCAGCAGAGGGTAGAACTGAGACCAAGTAAGTGGATTTAAAATTGTGTGCCAAACATAAAAGTCAAAAATATATAAAAAAAAGGGGGGGCAGTTTGAATAGACCACTTGGTCTTCTTTCTGCCTTTACTCTTCTATGTTTCTTTTAGGGTACCTAAACTATCTACCGGCAATCAATTTGTATCCAATCAGGCAGGCCCTTGCACTACATACTGTAGATGTTGGTAGATGAAATGAGGTTATACAGTCAGATGTGAACAGTGTATGGAGTGAGATTTAAGCAAGCCATATGCTAGAAGAAGATTCATTCAAAAATGTTTGTTTCAGGAATCTTTGTGAATGTTAGTGGGTGGTGAAATTGACATCTGTTGATTTTAACACAGTGATGAGGAAATTCAAAGGAGCAGAATGGCAATTTTCTTGAACAAATGAATTTTTAACAGTGTACAGTTTGCAAGAAAAAGTATGTGAAACCCCTTGGGACTCCATGGAGTTACTGCATGAATTGGGCATAAAATGTGCTCTGAACGTCATCTAAGTCACAACAATAGAAGAACACAGTCTGCTGAACATAATTTACACAAACATTAGATGTTGCCATGGTTTATTGCACATAACATGTAAACATTCAAGTGCAGGAGGAAAAAGTATGTGAAACCTTTGGACTTAATAACTGGTTGACCCTCCTTTGGAGCAATAACCTCAACCAAACATTTCCTGTATTGCAGATCAGACCTGCACAACGATCTGGAGTAATTTTGGACCACTCTCTCTCACAAAACTGTTTCAGTGTAGCAATATTCTTGGGATGTCTGGTGTGAATCGCTCTCTTAAGGTCATGCCACAGCATTTCAATCGGGTTGAGGTCAGGACTCTGACTGGGCCACTCCAGAAGCGGCGCGTATTCTGTGCTGTTGCAGCCATTGTTTTGATGAATTTACTTGTATGCTTTGGGTCATTGTCCTGTTGCATCACCCATCCTCTGCGGAGCTTCAGTTGGCGAACAGATGGTCGTACGGGTTCCTGCAAAATGTCTTGATAAACTTTGGAATTCATTTTTCCCATCAATGACAACAAATCTGTTCAGCCCTGAGGCAGCAAAGCCATTGCAGCCCCAAACCATGGTGCTCCCTCCGCCATGTTTTACAGTGGGGATGAGGTTTTGATGTTGGTGTGCTGTGCCTTTTTTTCTCCACACATAGTGTTTGTGTGTTCTTCCAAAAACAATTCAATCTTTGGTTTCATCTGTCCCACAGTATATTTGCCAGTAGTGCTGTGGAAAAGCATCCAGGTGCTCTTTTTGCAAACTTTCAAACGTGCTGCAATATTCTTTTTGGACAAGCAATGGCTTCCTCCGTGGTGTCCTCACCATGTACTCCATTCTGTTTAATGTTTTCCTTATTGTAGATTTGTCGACAAAAATGTTAGCATGTGCCAGAGATTTCTGTAGGTCTTTAGCTGAACACTCTGGGATTTCTTCTTTACCTCATGCAGCATTCTGCGCTGTGCTCTTGCAGTCATTTTTACAGGATGGACCACGCCTAGGGAGAGTAAGCAACAGTGCTAAACTTTCTCCATTTGGTAGACAGTCTGTCTTACCGTGGACACATGAACATCAAGGCTTTTGGAGATACTTTTGTAACCCTTTCCAGCTTCATGCAAGTCAAATTCTTGATCGTAGGTCTTCTGAAGCTCTTTTCTGCGAGGCATGGTTCACATCAGACAGTGCTTCTTGAAACAGTAAACCCAAAACAGGTTGTGTGTTTTTTAAGGGCACAGCTGTCAGCAACACCATCCAATATCATCACACTGATTGGAGTCAAGGTTGGCGGCTCACTCCTGGCTCCAATAAGCTCTGGGAGAAGATTAAGCTAGGACCTCACATACTTTTTCTCTCTGCACTGTGAATGTTTACCACGTTATGTGTATTTAAACCATGGCAACATCTAATTTTTGTGTAGTATTATGTTCAGCAGACTGTTTTCTTCTATTGTTGTGACTTAGATGACGTTCAGAGCACATTTTATGCCCAATTCATGCAAAACGCCACGGAATCCCAAGGGGTTCACATACTTTTTCTTGCAACTGTATGTGGTTTTCGTTTGGGAAATTACATTCAGTTGCAGAACTACCAGAGTCGCAAAGGTCGCACTTGTGACTGAGCCCTGGAGTTCCGCCACTGTGGGGGACCCCAAGAGCCCAGACTGTGTCTCCCCAGCTGTGTTGCTGGCTGCGGGGCTCTGAGTTGAGAGTTTCTCTCACAGTCAGCCTAGAGCCAGCGCTCAATGTTCCTCCCTCCCCCCCCCCCTGCACAGATGGGAGAACTTACATTCATTCCAAAATTGGATGTTCAAGGCAAACAAAAGTTTGAAGTATTTTCGAACGACATTTCAACATC